TAGACCACATACTTATATCAGATTTTCTAATAGCCGAAACAGAAAGCAGATCTGAGCAACACAATGGTCCATAAGTTTAAAAAAAGCACAAATAAATTCAAAATATCATCTAACTGTTTAATTATTTACAGGTACATTTGTAAAGTTCTAAAATCAGAAATAAATTTATTCTCAGAACCCTCCTGTGAAAAGTATTGTGAGTGGAATGGACATTTTCATCAGTCTTCTCCCATGGACCTTGTGGTCTTTCTTTGAGGTTACACCCCAGCATGATTCGGTTGAAGCAGTTCTTGAGGCCAGCATAACCAGATGTAGGTAAAGGGCCCAGTGCTGGCAGCGGTAGCTTTTATCTATGGACCCTAGGGGTAGATTTTCCAGTACATGTAATGTAAATGGATGAACCGCTTGGTTTTAGCCATTTTGTAACATTTTTTCCCCCTCAGGCACTTTTGATATTTGGTGGGAGACTATACTCCCTAGACTATCTGGGGAGTTACTATATAGCTACCACTCAAATAAAGATCCTTTGGCCTTGATAGACACTTGAGCTGGGGCAGTGCTGAGAGCTTGTTAAGAAGTGGGGAACCCAAAGTAAGATTTATTCCCATTTTCACATCCATCTCCATTCACTGATGAACCATAGCTATGCCAATGGAAGGGCCACAGTTCTCTCAGACAGTAATTTTGATTCTGTTTTAATATACAGACTAATGGGCAATGAAGTGTTCTTGCATATAACACTATCAGAAACACGTTAGCCTGAAAGATTTTAAGGTGATAACCAAACTCTCATCTTGACTATAAAAATCTCAGTGAAGAGCTCTTAGAATGCCTGACTTCGAGCCCTGTTATTTTCTAGTGGGCTCTCTACAATAAAGTATTTGTGGATTGTAGCTCTGAGTAATTTGGGGGCCCAGTTATAAAGATGGAGAAATATTTGCTAAAAATAACTTTTTTTTTTTTTTGAGATAGTAGGCCTGTGGTCTATTTATGCCACTTTTAGGCCTATTTATGCCATTCGTATATGCCTTTGGTAGAAAGCCTATACATATTTGGGTTTTTTTAAATAGGAAGAAATTATCTAGTTTAACAAAAGTCAAAGCCTACCTTAAGAATTTAAAGGAGTGGTGTAGTGCCATGGGAAACACATCCCTCTTTTTAACACAGATGTAAAACTATGATTTGATTTGTTAAAGTACAACTTTTATTGACCTTGACCCTTGCAGTTCCTTCATACTCATTGTGTCTATTATATATACATAATTATGTCCTGGGGAAAACAAAGGGATGTAGGGTATGGTAATAGGTACCGAGATGCTTATATACACCACGTGAGAATATAACAGATACAGTCGTGACATGTTAAACAGAAATACATCAGAAACCCTCGCCCACCTGCTCCCCACATGCACTTTAGGAGAGAGACCCCAACAGAGGATGCTTGAACCGGAATCTCAGGACCTCACCCAGGGAGCCACCAGTCACGGGGCATAGCCTCTCCTGGGCCTTTCTCCTACCCTCCCTTCTGTTCAGGGCCTCCCATCCGCCAAGCAGAATACCTGGAACCCGCTTCTAGTGCGAGAGGGCTGCGCATCCTCTGACCTCGAGGTCGGGTTCAGACTACCAGGGCTGAGGTGAAGCTGCCCCCTTCCCGTGAGCCTGGGGCCTCCTGCCCATGTGAAGCAGCTAAGAGCTCCATTCACAAAACCAAATCTGGGCAGGTCAGAGGCTGGGACCCCATGGTGAGCAGGGACCACCCACCTTGTGGAGGGTCAGAGGCTGGGACCCCATGGTGAACAGGGACCATCCCCTCTGTGGGACACAGGTTGGGAGCCTTCTCTCCCCAGCTTGCCCCCAGAGCCCGTCTTCTCACTCCCCCACTCCCACAAGGCAAGTAGGGGTCCCTGGAGTCCCAGCCGTGTGTCCCAGGCGGCAGGTGCCCGGTGACCATGGGCTCAAAAAAAAAAAATACATCAGAACAAAAGATATTCATGGATAGTCGGAGAAATGCCACAGAACAATTATTAATTGAATACAGTCGGCACAGATACCAAGACAAAAATTTGCTTACCTAGCTTCTCATCAAATAGCAAAGATTTGGTGCTGGTTCTGTACAGATACTGATGTGCACGTGTGACAATTTTTAATTCCCTGAAAAGGATGTATTTTTTAAAATACAGCCTGTAATGTGTGATTATTATCATCAAACAGATTTAAAACATCAAAACAAATAGTAGTCAGGGTGTGCTATTTTTGAATAACACCATGTAGTTTTCATTGCTCTTTCCACATAGTTTTTGCACTTGCCTCAGGCGAGCCCTTAAAAAAGACAGGGACAGATGTTTTTCCTGATTTACTTATGAGAACAGCTCGGCTCCATAAAGTTATGAGATTAGTCTAGGGTGCAGCACTGATTATATCCCAGGAGTTTTGTTTACTTTGTATTTTTCTTTATATCATGTAATTGCCCACAGGTTTAGATATAACAGATAACTTGATAACTTTGTTTTCCGTATGATACCTGGAAAGGATCCCTTTTGGTATCTTGTTATGCAAATGAAAAAAAAACGAGTGTACCAGCTATAGCTGCTGCTCATATTGACAAGCCATCTCTCTCATTATTTCTTTTTATCTGACACATTCAGTAGACATTAAGTGGCTTTTATGCAGCCATCTTAACATTGTCAAGTGCTAAGGGAGGTGTACAGGACCTGAGTACATACTTCCTGTGCTGAAGGAGTTTTCAGTTGATTTGAGGAAAGATGATATGCCCTCAGGAAAAGTGTTAAACCACCATTCCGGATGGTGGATCATTAATTGTCGAAATAAGAGGTGGCAACTGTTTTGTTGTCAGCCTTCTGATTCAGAAGTGGTTCAGGTAAGGTGGGATTCCAAGTAGACTTATCGATCGATTAAATTTCATGGGTGGGAGGACTAGGAATGACATTTCAGTAGAGCGGAGCTTGATTTAGGAAACATGGAGAGATGAATTTGGCATGGTGGATGAGAGGAATATAAAAACATTTCAGTGATATTCAGGTTGACGAGTTGGCATTTGTTTCTGTAAACGTTAAAGATATTTGCGTTGCGCTATTTTCTGCTAGTGGAGCCATGCAAAGCGGAGGTTTTGAGATAACCATCACAGCATTGTAATGTATTACAGTCCTGGCGTGTGGCTTGGAGGACTGACCAAAGTGTTTTTGTTTGTTTGTTTACATGGGATTTTATAGTGTGCTTTTAGCGTACTTTGTTTTTTGGTGAATGATGAAACCCTGAGTGAAATCATTAATCCCCTTGGCTGCTGGTGGTACCTTCTGTGGAGCAAAGAAAGTCCGAGGCTACCTGGGTTTGTTGTTAGAATGATGAAGCTCTCTACGCAAGAGTCCCTTTGTCAGGGAATATATAGCTTGTCCTGGTAGGTGCTTCACCACACCATACGTGAAAGTTTCATGTGATACAGACATAAAGGAGGCAGGATCCTGTGGCTAATGGTTGGTAGCAGGCAGAGAGACATTTTCCTAAACCAGTGGCTAGTGCAGCACTGCAGGCATCTCTGACACCATCTCTGGCCCAAGTCTTACCCTGTTCTTGTTACTATGAGGATATTCCCGGATGTTTTTGCTAATCCACATATACATATTGGATCCCTTCTTCATTCAGTTTCATCAGTGACAGTTCATTTCTTACATCATGTTAATTACACGAATCACTAAGTTCACCAATGAAAAGCTATTTCTGATATTCAGTATGCTAAATAGCAAAGCTTCTGGTGTTGGTCTAGGTAGGAATAGTTGAAAGAGAGGAATAACTTGAGGTATAATAAGATAATAAGAGGTATGAAATGCTTGGCCAGGTCTGACATGTGATCCTTTCTGATACAAAACTAGTTGACCCCAGGAATCTGAATTCTCAGTTAGGGCCAATGATTGCCTTAAAGCTTAAATTAATCGCTGTACCCATTGTATCATACTGTTGATGCTGACGAATATTTTATGAATTTCCTAATTTATTAAACAAATCACGGAACTAGCAAGGCCTGTCCATCAGTTATCTCAGTGTGTAGTCTCAACACAGTGATTGCACTGCATTTTTTGGTATTAATTTGCTCTTCACTGCTACATACTGTTACTCTCTTTGCTTTATGTTCATCAAAAGGCATAGGGAAATATACCTGTAAGCAAGGAAAATATCACAAAGAAAACCTAGGACACGCATATATTGAGAGCATGCACCATACAAGGGTTAAACATGTTGTTATTCTGAAACCCCAATGAGCAGCGTTCCAAGGTGTTTATAGGCCTCAAAGTGGAATATTTTGTGAGATTTCCATCTTGCTCCTTGGCACTCAGTGTAGGTAGGAGCCTGCTCACTCTGTCCAGATTCTGTTGGTCTGCAGCTGGGAAGAGCTTTGTTTGCCAAAAGATCCCTGTCCAGTTCTTTCGTCTTGGCAGCTTCCTTTGCTTTTTCATGGTTTCTCTCCCAAACAGTTCCCAAGCTGGACCCAAGATAAGTCGGTTTCCTGGGTCTTTTGTGGTTGAAGGCAAGGAAGCTATTATGTTCCGTGGTGCCCAAGTACAGCCTGTCCTTTTCCTTTGCCTCAAGTGTTTAAACAGATTTTAATGGGACATCATATTCAAATGTAGTAAAGATGCTAGCTCAGGGGGTTCTATTAAATGTCCGGATTTTCTGATTTTATAATTTCCTGCAGGCCCTCATGACATCTCTACATCCCAAGACACTTAGATTTTACTATAGAAAAGAAGGCGAGGCAAGTATGGCTAAGAAAATTCAATGGCCGTGTGAAAGAATGTTTATGTTACGAATCTACCTCGAATAAGATAAAATACGGTTCTAATGTTTTATATATATATATGCAAAGATACATACAGATATTCTCACATGTATATTTGTTAGAAATGATGTTGCAAGTTATCCATCAAGAGATCATTCGATCATGATTGAATTCATAGTTTAAAAAATGTTTTTATTTTTAAATATAGCACGATCAACTTTACACCTGGGCTGCAGTTAGTCAACCCACACACTCACTGGATTACACGGAAGGGCAGTTTCCCAGGCGAGTCCCGTCTGCTTTGCCGCCATCTAACCCTCCTGATGAAGAACACAGGCCCAAGAGTGCGGAAACAGGTAGGCCCCCGGGACCAGTGAATGTTCTGAACGTGTGACAGATTAAGTAGTGCTTGCTGGGTCGTGAGTTTGCATTTCTCTTCAAGGTATTTCTTAGCGTATAATCTACAGATAACAGGTAAAATCACAGGGAGGCTTGTTAAATGGACAGTTCTTATGCCCCACCATTAATGATGCTGAGTTGGAATTTTGGGGGAACGGGACACTGGAATTGTTCAGTTATTATTGTGTATGATAAAGTTTAAGAGCCACTGCTTCAGGTGTCCAGCTGTAGCTACCACCGGAGTTGAAGCACCATCATTTGTGTGGGCTAAGGGAGCTCCCAAGGGAAATTTCTGTCCATTGCTTTTTTTCCCTTACTGTTTCCATGTGCTTTTCTTAATCCTTTTCTTTACTTTCAGGGATAATGAGGAGAGGGAATATAGAGATATACATTTTGCTAATTGTAAAATTAAAGTAATCTTTAAAAAGTTCACAGACTTCAGATGTAATATTGTATTTCTTTAATTTTTTTTCTCTTTGTACATTTTGTAGCCCAAAACTAGGAAAGCACTTTATATTTGTGATATAGAGTTAAGAATCATATTTGTTTAAAAATATTTTATTGAATCTGTTTGTTTTTTTATTCCTTATTTTTTCATTTTGCATTGACCCTCGCTGCATTCTTGCTTGGATAGTTCTTAGGGGTCCATGGGCCCTAGGTGGGTGGAAACTGGTATCTGTGTGCTCTGTGACTTTTCCTGAGTGGCCACAGACCAATCACTGGCACAAATTTCAAATCTGCATTCACCCAGTGAACACCACTCACCAAACCCTGGTGACTCCCTGAGATCCCACCTCACCAAACTTGTGTACCACTGGAAGATATTTCAGCAACTGAGTCTTATTAGCAACCAGCAGATAGTGGCAGGCCTCAGTGTGCCATGGGCCTTTTGGTGAGCTGCCCCAGGTTTGTACTGGTGGCAGCTGACCTCAGTACACAGCATGGCCTCTCCCATGTGTCTCCAGATCCAGCATAAGTCAACAGTCAACTGCAAAATGCTTTGTAGCTCATACCATGTAGCTCCAACCAGTTATAGCTGCTGACTTTGGCCTGCCTGGGAGCCACTCCCAAGAGGTCCCAGAACCAACACCCATTGACCAGCTTCAGACCACAACAGAGCACCACTGGATTAGCCCTACAAGCGCCACACCCAAAGGGTGGTCTCAGCAGGCATGAGAGCTGACTGGGATAAATCTTGCTTGGTGGGGTCAGCCCTCACACAGCAGATCATATGCTGTGGTCATGGCCAATCCTAACAGCTAGTCAGCCTGAGAGTCAGTCCCACCCACTGATGTGCCACAGCAGTTAAGTCTCAACTACAACAGGAGGGTACACACAACCCACACAAGGGATGCACCTGGATTAGGTGACCAGGGAGACTATGCCACTGGGCCCCATAGGGCACCTACTACATAAGGCCTCTCTACTAAGACAGAAAGTCATAGCAGCCCTATCTAATACAGAGAAACAAACTCAGGGAGGCAGCCAAAATGGGAAGGCAAAGAAACATGTCCTAAATTAAACAACAGCACAGAGCTCCAGGAAAAGAACTAAACAAAATGGAGACAAGCAATCTACCAGACACAGAGTTCAAAACACTGGTTATAAGGATGCTCAGTGATCTCAGGGAGAACTTCAACAAAGAGATAGGAAACATAAAAATAGAGATAGAAAACACAGAAAAGAATAAGTCAGAAATAGAGAATATAATATCAGAAATGATGAATACATTAGAGGGAATCAATGGTAGATATGATGGAGAGGATCGAATTAGCAATTTAGAATATAAGGTAGCATGAAACACCCAATCAGAACAGCAAAAAGGATCCAAAGAAATGAGGACAGTTTAGGAGACTCCTGGTGCAACATCAAGCATAACAACATTTGCATCATAGGGGGACCAGAAGGGGAAGAGAGAACGCCAGGGGTTGAAAACCTATTTGAAGAAATAATGAAGGAAAACATTCCTAATCTGGTGAAGGAAATAGGTATGGAAGCCCAGGAAGCACAGAGTCCCAAACTAGATGAACCCAAAGAGGCCCACACCAAGATACATTATAACTGAAGTGTGAAACATTAAAGATGAAGAGAGAATCTTAAAAGCAGAAAGGGAAATGCAGCTAGTTACCTACAAGGGAGCTCCCATAAGACTGTCAGCTGATTTCTCAACAGAAACTCATAGGCCAGGAGGGATTGGCACAAAATATTCACAGTGATGAAAACCAAGAACTTACAACCAAAACAACTTTACCCAGGAAAATTATCATTTAAAATTGAAGAAGAGGTCATAATCTGCTAGTCAACAAAAAGCTAAAGGAGTTCATCGCCACCAAACCAGTATTACAAGGAATGTTAGAGGAACTTCTTTCAGAGGAAGGGGTAAAAAGAACATAACTATGAGTAATAAAATGGCAATAACTATGTATTTATCAATAATCACTTTAAATGTAAATGTATTAAATGCACCAACTAAAAGACATAGGGTGGGTGAATGGATAAGAAAACAATACCCATACATGTTCTGTATATAAGAGGCACACTTCAGATCGAAAGACACACACAGACTGAAATTAAAGGATAGGGAAAGGTGTTTCATGCAAGTGAAAATGAATAAAAAGCTGGAGTCACAATAATTATATCAGACAAAATAGACTTTAAAAATAAGGCTATAATAAAAGACAAGAAGGACATTTCATGATTATAAAGGGATTAATCAAAGAAGAGGCTATGTAAACAGTTATGCACCCAACACAAATATAGAAAGCAAATATTGACTAACATAAAGGGAGACATCAGTGGTAATGCAGTCAGAGTAAGGGACTTTTAACACCCCAATTGACATCAATGGATAGATCTTATAGACTGAAAATCAACGAATAGTGGCTTAAAATGACACATTAGACCAAATGGATTTAATTGATATTTTTACAACATTTCACCCCAAAATAGTAGAATATACATTCTTTTCAATCACACATGGAACATTTCCAAGATAGATCACATGTTAGGCCACAAAAAAAGTCTGAATACATTTAAGAAGAGTGAAATCACATTAAGCCTCTTGTACAATTATAATAGTATGAAACTAGAAACCAATTAAAAGAAAAATTGAAAAACACACAAACACATGGAGGCTAAATAACATGATACTAAACAGTGTGTTAAAAATGAGATCAAGGAAGAAAAGAAAATACTTAGAGACAAATGAAAATGAAAACATAATGACCTCAAATCTATAGTAAAAGCAGTCTTAATGGGAAATTCATAGCAATTCAGGCCTTCC